AATTCAGTTGAACTTATCTATCCCTTGCTCCCACACGTCCACCTGCAGGCTTAGGCCAGCTGCCAAGATGTCACTACTCTGGGCCACCACTGGAGATAATAGTTTCCAAAGGTTTACTACTTTCGACTTTGTTTCATCTTATCTCTCTCAGGCTTGAAGGGTTGACCCTTAATTTAAATTTCCTAAGAATGTGAAATTCAGTACATACCCATCCTAACTGAAATTCTCTAAGTTTTAAACGTTAAAAATTACATTTCCTCACCTGAAACCTATATAGTTTTCCTAACCAATGTCACCCCAATAAATTCAATACAAAGAAAAAAACAAATAAAAATTACATCTCCTTCTAACCTTTGACTGACTGCATTTTGAAGGCACATAATCTTACCCATGGTAAGTATTTAATTAATATTTTGTTTAATCAATCTCTAATGGCTCTGAATAATAAAATCATTTGAACTTTCATAATAATCTTATTAAATGCTTCTGTGGTATGAGGAACTGTCTTTAGATATACGTGTTACTTTTAAGGCAAAAGATCAAATTCCTGCAAGTGTAATGAATGGAAACTTTACCAAAGCTATTGGAAGTTGAGTCTGTGACATCAGACAACCTGAGCTGGAGAATTCTTACCCTGATTTATAGGTTGTGTGACCTTGGGCAAGTTATTTTATCTCTCCAAACTTCAGTTTCAGCATCAATAAAAATGAGGACAGTGATCTCTCTCTTGTGTGGGTGTCTGAGCATTAGCTGAGATAAGGCCCACAGCACTGGCCCATGGAAAGAGCTTAGTCCATGTAACCTGTTATTATCGTTCAACTGAACAATTCAGACATTGACTAGGTCGGTGTTTTTCGGGTGTAGACAGAGGACCATCTATATCAGAATCAGCTTCGGTACATTTAGCAAATACAGGTGCCTGGCCCCTACCCAGACGAACTGAACCATGCGGTCTCACACTGTGGCACAGGCATCTATACTGCATTCAGCCCCCCAAGTCTGTGCTGCTGGGAGGCATTCGAGGGGCCCAGTGCTGCCGCAGGTGTTTACCTGCCCTTGTAGGGGTCCCGAGGGGCTCTGTGTGAGCCGTGCTGGTTAAGAGACGGGGCGGGCAGCCAGGCGACCTGTTAGTCCAAATCTAGGAAAGACCTTAAAGGTCACTTCAAGGTGGAGGTATTCCTTGTGATGAGCAGTAGCTACGTTAGTCCTTGTCTGACATTCCTTTGTGAATCTTTCCTCACACGGACTTAGGCAAAAAGTCAGAAATGTGAAGGAAAACCAAGAAACAGGGAGGGAGAAATACTCTGTTAGAGCTGCCAGCTAGCTGACTCAGAAGGCAGGGGATACAAGTGGAATCAGATTAAAAATAGAAGAATGACATCCAGGAAAGGGACTTTTTGGTGCCAACCACTGGACATCTTTTGGTTCTCCGCTTTTTCTCCCTTGGGGGTGGGGGGTATGCAGGGGGATTGGTCTATGTGAACAGATATTTGTTGACAGCGGGCCAGTTTCAATTCAGTTTGAAGCTATTAAAAATTTAGTTTTGTTGGCATCTCAGAAAGGCAGTGATTGTTCTATTTCCCTGGCACACTTATCCCATGGAGCAGGTTGCAACTTGTGCTGTTTGCCCAGGCCTTACCGGAGTCTCAAGGGAGGGGCAATCAGTGTCATTTGAAAGCATATCTGCTCCTAATAGAAAGAGGCCCATGAAGTGGCAGCTGGTCAGCTTCTTCCCTGCGGTCCCCAAAGTGGGGGCTTCTGAAAGCTCTTGTGCCTGGCATCTTTGGGCCCTGTGGACAGTCCGGCCCTTCTGGGGAGCTCTGACTGGTTACGGTGGGGACACAGGTCTGTGTGCATGAGGAAGCTGGGGTTTAATGGGGGGTGATTCCACAGGTCCCTGAACAGTCTTTCACAAATGGTGGACCAAAGTCTTCATCATCCCCGGAGAACATGTAAGAAGCACGTGTTTAATGTCCTCTGCCCCATGTTCGGGTGCTTACTGGCTGGGTGACCTTGGGCAGGTGACTGAACCTCTCTGAGTCTCAGACTCATTNTATTTCCCTGGCACACTTATCCCATGGAGCAGGTTGCAACTTGTGCTGTTTGCCCAGGCCTTACCGGAGTCTCAAGGGAGGGGCAATCAGTGTCATTTGAAAGCATATCTGCTCCTAATAGAAAGAGGCCCATGAAGTGGCAGCTGGTCAGCTTCTTCCCTGCGGTCCCCAAAGTGGGGGCTTCTGAAAGCTCTTGTGCCTGGCATCTTTGGGCCCTGTGGACAGTCCGGCCCTTCTGGGGAGCTCTGACTGGTTACGGTGGGGACACAGGTCTGTGTGCATGAGGAAGCTGGGGTTTAATGGGGGGTGATTCCACAGGTCCCTGAACAGTCTTTCACAAATGGTGGACCAAAGTCTTCATCATCCCCGGAGAACATGTAAGAAGCACGTGTTTAATGTCCTCTGCCCCATGTTCGGGTGCTTACTGGCTGGGTGACCTTGGGCAGGTGACTGAACCTCTCTGAGTCTCAGATTCATTTTGCTGCCAATGTTGATGGGCAGATTAAATGAGATGATGTGTGAGAAAAACCCTTAGGCAATTCTAGCCCAAGGGAAGGGTTCAGGAAATCCGCTGTGGCCATTGCCAGTGGTACCAGCATGGCTGTCGCTGTGCTAAACCTGGGGACGTGAAAAACGCCTCCCAGACTCCAGTGCAGGGATTAAGTCTGTGCTTTAGTGCCCTCAGCAAACAGGATTTAACAAAGGGTCTAGCGCAGGGAGCTTAAGTAACTCTCTTCACCTCGGAAGACAGTTGGGCTTGTTCAAATAGATTAATCAGAGGAAGTAAATTCTGAAACTCAGTTGTAAACAACATAGTCCATCCTCTAAATCAGTCTGTAAAGACGAGTGATGCGTACTTAAGGACCCGAAGCAGAAATTCAGAGATATAAGGGAATTCTAAACTTTGCCATGCATCAACAGCAAGGGAGCCCTCAGGAGAAAGCAGATCAAATATTTGCCCAGAAAGTTTACAAAACAATGCTTTGGAAAGAAAAAGAATTATCTACAGGTTAACATTGCTGGAGGGAAGATGTGCTTTTTGGTCATATTAATATTTCATTGACTAAAGTTACATACAAAAACCTAATGATTCATAAATGTCTTTCTCTGATGTTGCTCCAAGGTGTACATATACCCTCATTTAAAGGGGAGGCCGACTTTCACTTTTCTGCCATCACAGCTGTGTCTACTCTCTGTCCCCGTGGGAGCCAGGGCACCTCACCACGCTAAAATAATTTCAAATTCATGAGTAAGATGAGACTACTGAAGAGTCATTAGTGATTTCCAGAAGTAAGTGATACTATTTAAGCCAACTGGAAATTATTATTCAAAAATTAAAAAAATAAGCCAACACTTAATAATACAAAATTATTTATTAGTAAAAAAAAATTAGAATTTGTTCATTACACAGAAAAGTAAGACCACTGAATGTTCCCTAAAACTTGAACTGTAAGCATTCAAAGTAGGAGTGACACAGTGACCGGGTCTGAGGACTTCATCTTAATGCCTAAGTTAGCGTCAGAAACTGGAAAACAGGGACATGTAAACTGCACCTGTGTTGTGCTGTTAACAGGTTGCCTATTTCAAGTTGTCATCTGGCATGGCAGAAAAACAGACATGTGCGTGCCATGTTCCACATGAATGAAATTCTATGAGCTATAGCAGATGTCACAGTTTGTTTCCCGCACGTAGAAATCACTGGCTGCTGCGGCCGAGGGATCAAAGTTCACACAGTCTGTGCCCGGGCAGGAAAAGTACTCGGATGCTCTGATGGTGGCCAAGTGCTCTGCCTCGCAGGACACACAGTAGCAGCCCGAGGTCGGGGCTGGGAAGAAGCAGTCGTACTGGGCGTGCGAGGCCAAGTGAGGGTAGGAGTAGTCTTCCGAGGGATAGCCACAGTTTCTGGTGTCGAGAGAAGGGGGGGAGCTGTAAGTCTCCGGAGCATACGAAGGTAGGTGAGCTGGCGAGTAACTGAAGTCCAGGGAGCCAGAGAGAGTGGAGGAATCTGAAGGTGATCCTGGGGTCTAGAGAAAGAAAACCAAGGAACAAAGAGCTTGATAACTTAGACAGGATTAAAAGGACTGAATGGAATGGATTTAATAACTCAGAGTAAGAACATCAGGGGTAAGGAAACAAAACACCCAACCCAACCCAAGTGCGCAGTCATTTTATTTGCTGATTGCGTGATTTCATGACACCACATTCTATATTTACCTATTTCTTTCCCAACAATAAATTGCCTTGCTTCACTGGCTTCCTTTGTTGTAACCATACTTTAGAGGATGCTTTGTCCTTAAACCGCAAAATCCCATTGTGCTGCAAGTCACCTGCCCACCGAATCCTGCTGTGTGCCACGATATAAGCTTCGGGCACAATGTAAGCTGCAGGTGGCACCTTGGACGTTTGTCCACACCCTTGGCTGTGGAGAGCAAGGTGAACACACTCAGGTAGAACTGGGGCCTTCAATGATCCAGTGTCCGGGAGACTCCAAGATGCGAAACTACTCTTGCTGTCACTAAAGTTTTGTCCCCTGACGAGAAAGGTACCTTCTGCTTTCCCTTAAGCAGGTCTACAGTCATTACTGAGAAAACCTAACTTGGAAGCTGGGCGGGAACCGGATGACTGGGGGCCCTGTGTGCATATTCTGTGCAGTTAATTTCCTATCCCCTTAAAATTTAGTCTCATACCTACACAGACTTTGGAAAAATAGAAATAAAAAAGGATTTATTTTTAAAAACTTACTTCTTAAGGTTTAGAAAAATCTAATAATATCTAAAAGACTTCTAAAACAGCTGGTATCCAACTGATGCAAACATGACTACATTTTAAGTAACACATTTTCAAATGTTTGAGGTCCATCATGAACGGACCATCCACATTCTTTCAAGCATTATGGTTTCATTTTTCTTGACCATCTCAGACCCAAATGAGTTCTTGTGCCTAAGCCAGACCAAAACAACCAGTTAGTCTAGCCAATTTAATGTCAAAAATCAAACAAAACCCATTTATCAAAATGACAGTTTGGTACTGTGTAGATTCGGCCTTAATTCCATTTTCAAGAACCCCCAAATCCAAGGGCCACTGTTTAAACCAGTGACTTCCAATTAGTAAATGTCTTAATTTTATAGTTTATAAATATTAAGTGTATGTTGCCAAGGGACCTGTTTATTGCTTGGAAAATGTGTGCTATTTCTACCTCCATTGAGTTGTAAACAGTTGTCTGCTTGCTTCGTGGAGGATGTCCTTGTTGACAGTGTTTGTACACTTTCTCCAAGATGATGCAAACATTCTTACAGAGCGTTGTTACCCCATAATAAGCAATAAACAGGTTTTGTTGAGAACTGAGATAAGTTACCAGGCTCTGGTTGAAGCAGAAAGGGGCAGCCTGGAAGCTGTCCGGGAAATAGTGTGGAGCACTCTGCATGGAATTGAGCAAAGGGTCTGGGTGTGTCTCTGTCTGAAGGTAGGAATCCAAGATCTGGTCGAGGCAGCTTGGGTTTTCTTCACAGGAAGCACAACTGGAAAATTCTCGGGGTTGAAAATAATTGGGTGTGGAAGAAATAGACTCAGGTTCAAAATAGACTAGAAGAGAAAGGAAAAAGATTTTTGTTTTGTTTAAAACTTTCAGTTATGGATTTGAATGAAGCTCTATTCTACATTCTGAATATTTACTATGTCTAAGGGAACATTTACTAGGTCTAAGGGGCTTAAGAAGTTCCAGAAGAGTAAGCAGTCAGGCAATTTGGATTTTTCAGTTGCCTTAGCTAATTCAAGTTTCAGTGAAATGAATCTGCCTAATAATATGAAAACTGGCTGTGAATGTAGGTAGGGCTAAAATAAAAGGATGGAGGTCCACCCTTTGACTAACTGACAGAGTCAAATATTGGCTCAGGCCTCCACTTCCTTGGACCATAAAAAGCATCCACATTCAGCCCCTGTCTGCAGGCCAAGTAAACCTCTCAGAAAGAGCTTAGGAAGTTGTTTGAGGCATTAGGAAAACTTCTGATGCCGTGGTAAACAATTCTCTTGATTCCTAAACATTTTACACCCACTCAGCAACTTAAATTTTGAGGAGTGATATAAATAGACACACAAGTTATAAAAATACAAACCAGGAACATAGAAGACAAATGAGTACTGTTCTAAATTACAAAAAGCAAAAATCTTTTCTTAATGTTAAAGTGAGAATGGAATTAAAAATAAGTTGTTACTACCAAACAAGAATAATGCTGAAACTATGGCTCCTTTTCTATTTTAGTATTAATAGGCCCAATATGTGGTTATTATCCTAAACATGCTCAAAGAAGATAGGCTTAGAGTGTGTCCATCAGAGGGGTTCTTTGAAGTCTTGAGGTTCCTTTGAGGTTAAATGCAAGTGGCAAATGCAGTGGTGAGCTGCCATAAGCAGGTTCCCTTGTATATGAGCTCTTTAAACTCTTAGCTGTTAAGTGGGGTAGGTAGGAGTGTTTACGTAATGAGTTACTCGCATTGGGCTGAGAAAACTCACAGCTGTTTGAACTGCTCTCTGGGGAGAGAGAGAGGAAGGGGAGGGAAGCCCCGGTCGGCCAGACACTGAACAAGAGCAAAGGCAGGACTCTAGGAGCCTCAGAGTGTTCTGTAGTCCATCTCACGGTCCACGAGAAAAGGCAAGTTTCTAAAAACAATTCTGGCCTTTTAGTCCAGTTTAGTTACATGGAGATGAGGAACTGGAATAAATGAGGGAAACAAGCCCTGGGTAGAGTTGACAGGGAAGAAGAGACAGTTCCGAAGAAGGAAACAGTTGCGCTTGTTTGCTTGCGGGGCTTCCATCTGGAGGCGCTGCGCCTTTTTCACCTTCTGATTGGTCGGATTGCAATTAAATGGTGGTGCCTTTCTTAACCCCTGAATCGAGCTTTGACAGACTTTCGAGATGTGATTTTGAAAGAGTGTTTGAGGGAACTGTAATGCTGGCTGTACTGACCTGCAGAAGGTGGCGTGACTGGATCTGAACGGTGGACGCTGTTCCCTCCGGACAGCTGCCAAAGCAAGAACAGGACCATAAAGCTAAGCGAAAGGCAAGTTCTGTGCAGGGAAAGCTAAGACATTTTGATGGAACTATGTTGCCTTCTGCTCTAAGGTAAGCCGGATTCTTTCTTCTAAGAGTTCAGTACAAACAGTGTTATATTTTATTTAGATTCCATTTTTAGGTTTGCTTGGGGATTTTTTTCTAATATTAGATTCTCTCACATAAATTTTAAAGGCTATTAATTTGGATAACAATTTAATTTAAATGATTTTTATATAAAAGAACTATAATAGTTCAAGAAAACTTGGTAAAGACCTTTCTATTAAGCCATTCAACCTGAAATCAACAAGGACTTACATTTATTTAATCCCAACTCTCATCACATAGTCAATCATTTTCTTCAAAATTTAACATTCTATCTGGCTACTTATCCTTAGGAATTTGTTTTTTCCAAAGGACACAATTCCCAACTTTGTTGATCCCAGATAGCTCAAAACATTCACATGTTCTTAGTAGCTATGAAATACTAAAAAAATAAAAAAATAAAAATTCTTAAACCTGTAGTCAGTGAGTTGGAGCCTGTCTATATACTAGTTAATGGTCAGGAAATATTTCAACTCTGTATATTTTCTACTTTATTTTTATAAAAGTTGCTTTTTCCACTATTATAAATACTTGAAGCCTATGAGGTTGCTCCTTTTAACTATTGAAAGTAAAGCAGCCTGTATCTTCTAGTTGAATTGATAATTTTACTAACCAAGTAATTTAGGATGTATTATTACTTTTTTTTAGCTTTCAGGTGGTGGCTTTAAAGTTTAAAGGGACCAGCACTGGTCTGTGATTCTGTGCTGAGCTCACCACACCTCTCTCTTGAGTCACAAGGCATGCTGACTCCCATACACAGAGCCGCTGGGAGAGCACAGCCAGCCACGGCTGAAACAGGAGGTAGTGTTAATTTTGAAAACGATCCATGCTGTAATGTCATGAACCAGGAAGCTGGAATCCTTCACCAGCTTTTCATGCAAATATTTGGCTGCAGCTTGATCTGAAGGACTTGGACAGAGTGGGTTTTAAAAACTGCTTCATTGTAGAGCTCTCATTAACCCCACTCCTGCCCCCCTTCGCCCCAATGGTCTGTTTATCTGCCTCCCCACCTTATCTCCCTCAGGTATGTTTACAATATCCTATTTGATATTATCTTTTTAGTCATGAGTTCACTTTCTACTTTGCTCCAAGAATACAAAGAAAGGCACCTCTCTCTTAGATTTCAAACAGCACAAAAATCCACAATCTACAATTTAAAAAACACATCAAGGTTGTTAAAAAATTAATGGTTAAAAAAAGAGTAAATTATATCTTTTGATAAGTGCTAGCTCAAGTTCCCCTTTATCCTAAAGGTAAAAGAATTGTGTGTGCGTGTGCGTGTATAAGGCTGTTTGCAAACTGATCTGGCCTGGCCTAAATAAGTTTTCTTAAAAGTCAAATTTACAAATACTGCGCGCACACATCTCTCCTGGTACTGTTTGAGATCCTGATATTTATCTCTCAGTCTATAACTTCTGTTCACAATTGCCTTCTTAAAATTTCAAATTGTGGATACTACTGATTTTATAACAAATTAAGATAAATTTCTTCCTGCTTTGTATATTTTATAAAATTAACTCTTTCCTTGGCTTAAAGCTTCCTAGAGGCATCCTTTAACCACTGAACAGCTTGGAGATCATCTCTATTAAACCAGAAAGTCTACACCAAGAGTCTATCTACATTACCCCCTGGCACCTGCCATCCTTGCCTACTGAGCCTACCTTCACAGCTTTCCTGGAATCCCAGATCCTTCTGATGGTTCCCACGGAGGGATGTACATCTGGCTCTCGTAATTAAATCATCTGTGTGTACTCTTCCTGCCTGTGAGGGCATGGGCGGATGGATATACTAGACAAGGAACCTCTGCAAGGTACTGGCTTGGAAGTACTGCTTCATTATTTCTCAGGGGGGAATTGAGAAAAACTTAGATAAGTCAAATCTCTCCAGGGAACAGATCCTGGTCAGATACACAAGTGAAATATTTAACCCTTGCTTTCCTTCCTGCAGCTAGCTAACAGGGGATCAGAGGCCAAACCAATCTGCAAGAGGCCAACAGCCATAAAATTGCCGTGCCCAGTGGGACTTCTCCAGGCGCAGCTGAAGCAGAATTCTACCATGTACCAAAGCTCCGTAATGAAAGATTACATTTTGTTATGAACGTTTTGATGATTTTTGTTTTTTGCTCCAGAAGCACTTCCCAGTTCCCTTGCTCCTGGTTTTATTAATTTGTAATTATTTCTGAATTGAAGGGGTTGATGGTTGAGGTTACCAGACTCCTGCTCAGGGCAGCTGGATCTGCAGAAAGATGAATTTAGGGAGCCAACAGGTGGGAAGGTTTTTTGTATTTTTTTGTATTAAGAATAAGACCTTGGTTGTACTTTTAGTTTTACCATCAGGAACTGCAAGACTCAGCTATAATAGAGGTGTACAGACCCCTGATCTACTCAGCTCGCCTGGTTATTATAAGAACTAAATGAAATGAGTATGCACAAAATGTTTTAAAAGACCCACTGTAAAACCCTCCACAAGTGGAAGGAAATCTTACTGTGTTAGCTGGAATTCTGCATAGGGAGGTGCTAGCTTCCCCAGCAAGTTTAAAATCTGTGCTGTATGTGCCATATCACAGCAAGGTCACATTTGAGCCTCTAAGCTCTGAGCAAAGGGTGCATATGAATGTCACTGAAAAGCCGGCTTTCAAGCCTTGGTTGTAATTTTACTGTAGTTGCTTTTCACAAATAATGATGATAGCTAACACTAACTGAGCATTTACTATGTGGAAAGCACTCTCTAAGTGCTTTCTATGCAATAATTCATTTAACCCTCACAAACTCTTATTATCTCCAGTTTAAAGATGAGAAAACAGAGGCAAGAGAGGAGAAACAGCTCCTTCAGAGGGTACATACCGCAGAGGCGCTGAGATCTGAGCCCAGTCCACTGGCTCTAGAACCTGTGCTTGCCATCCCTACATCACTTGCCTCTTCCCACAAAGGCCCATTTCATGAAGCTGTGCGCTGCATACAAATAGCACCAGGCACAAGACCCACTGTGGGGCAGATGCCAATAAGCTGGAGACAGCACCAGTGCTGATACTGGGCTCCAGCTGTCAGGTCCTACATGCACACCTAAATCAACCCATAAGCAACTGTACGATCAAGGCCTTTCGGTGAGGCATTTCCCTCCCTTGGAGGATAACCTGACCTACTTTATTTGGCCCTGCTGCTGCCCTGAGAGCTCTTGGCAGTCCTATCTGCTTAGAATGTATATAAGTGGCAGGGGACTCGTTTGGCGGTCCAGATCAATCTCGTGATAATCTGGAACTACATGAGGCTTCATTACATCTTAATGAGGTGGTTCTACATTCCAAGCGGTCTCCTCTGCAGAGACATGGCCCCTTTCTGTAGGAAACTTTTAGGGACTGGTGATTTACAGATAAATGACCTCAGAGGCTGGGTTCCAGAAGAATGACGAGGAAGGGGGTCTGCTCCACAGAGATTCTCTCCTTGAAGGGCTTCCTAAAATGACGCAAGTTTCTGGGAGAGATTTTCTTTGCATATCTGAGGGCACATCCACTGTCTTTCTAACAGAGTAACAGCCTACTTACCTGCTGGCTGCTCCTCTCCCTACACAGGATCAACAAGCCCTTCTTACTCAACCAGGATCAATGAGGGGTGGGCTCCCCAAATCCTGAGCCCTACAACATGCCACAGCTGCTCTTTGTGGCTTCCTGTGGTGAACCACGATGAACAGGGTACTAGATTTATGAGAAAAGCTGAGGAAGGCCAGGTCTGGGGGTGGTGACTGGGGCCCAGGGTGGCCTCCACACCTTCCCAGGCGCAGGGCTGGGTGACGCCTAACAAGAGTAGGGAGTGAGTGAAGGGTTTATGCTTACAGTTCCCCCCGAGGCTGCCTGGTGAGCCCTTCTCTGCTGCAGCAGCTCCTTCACCGTGATCTTCACCCGGACACCTTGATAGACCTTCGGTTTTTCTGGGGAAAGATAACTGAGTCAGTGGTCAAGTGTGAGGGCTGGGTGTCAGGCCGGGGTGTGGGAGTCCCCTTTACAGACATGGCACGTGAGCCCAGGTTTCTAGGTTTGGAAAACACAATGAGAATGCTAAAAAACAAGTGGGAAAGACACTCAAAGTTCTCAAACTTGAAGGGATGGGGAGAGGCTGGGCAGGTTGCAGGGCCTCCGCGGGAATCAGAACATATGGCAATCTGTGGGGCCACCCACCTCAGGTTGGGTCCTATCCCTAACCAATAGCACACAGGTTTTTTCTGCTCAGGAATGTGGAGACCAGTCCAGGGGAGCTCACCATCTCGGCTAACTAAGATGGGGGGTGCCTGGGCCCAGCCTGCTGGCCTGGGAGAGGGCGTTAGGGACCAGGGAGGGGCCAGGCACTGGCGCAAGGGCGCTCTCTGGCCTGTGGCTGCTGACCTAGCCACCCCACGGTGATGCTCCACTGCTGTGCAATCTCTGAGTCCCTTCCGTCTCCACAGGCCAGGTGTGGCTTCTGGGGAGGCTCCGACCTCTACGTGCCCTTGGTCGGGAAGCCAGGGGCAGGCTGTGAGGCTGGGCGAGCCCTGTCCTTGGGCCAGCGAGGGGCCTGCCAGGCTGACCCCCGCAAAGGCCCAGGCCCAGGGAGCTCCGTCCCTCCCTTCTGTCCCTCTCTTGCCCGCCGTCCCTCCCTCACCCCCTCCTCCGCCTCTCCCGCTCCCGGCCTTTCCCCCTCCCTCCTCGGGCCTCTCGCGCTCTCCCCTTCCTCCCGGCTCTCCCCACCCC